CAATGACAAACGCTGGGTTTGGGGAGAAAGTTGAGTGTGCCAGAGACTGTCCTCTCTCAGGGTTGGGTATTTTCTGCACAGTCTAAGCCTGAATCAGAAGAACATCACAGATGCACGGTGCATTGGACACGGAGCACATGCATGCATTTAAATCACGTGTATCTTACTTTTTTACTGATGTAATTGTGAAATATGTTCCTTTTGCATTCATAATTAGGGGGTGGAACAGATGGTGAAGGCTTAGTTTAAAATAATCTGTCATTAAAATAACCTAGCCTACTGGTAATTCTTCACTCTAACTGGAGTGAGGTCATAGGAAAAGAGTTTGGGGTGATTTTTTTTTCTCTCTTCTGCATTGGAATGTGGAAGAAAGAACCGCTAATCTCGGAGTGGTTATATATGTGAGAATTACCCCTCGAAGAGCACCATAGTAGGATTTCGCTCTGTGAGATCTGGCTGCAGTGGAATATGCAGGAAAAAGAAAAAAAAAGCAGAGACAAAACTACTTTGACAAATATAAATCCATTTAGTACAATGCATTAAACATTAGTGTACCTTCGATCATGAAGCTATAGTTAGTTTCATACCCTGCAAGGAAAGAACCTCATCATTTGACAAATACTGTTAGAGGCCCTCAGCTTTTGGGGTTAAGAAACTGTGCCTTATACTTTATATGTTACACTGATGTCAGGGGATAGAAATTATAATTACAGGCATTACTATTCAGAGATGCTGTAGCTCCTGACTTCTGCGTCCAAGCTTCCCTCCTGTATGTGTGTACCTCATAGACTTACCAGGATGTGACAAAGGAAATCTCCTATCAGCCCTGTCAGGATGGCTAAGAACTGGTTTTAGTAATAAGAAAACTGTCTTGATAAATCAGATACTAGCATGCCTTTAAAATGTCTATTTTACTGTTTCTTCTAAGATTTTGTTCTCCATCTGCTTTGAGGAAAGCAGATAGATTTCAGCATGGCTTTATAATAAATCTTCTCAAGGAGGGACTAGCATTAACATTTGTGTAGATTCTTTTTCATCTTAATCCAACCTTAGTTAATAATCAGAAAATTCTACATAGTGAGTAAGGAGATGTAATTAACCCTTTGACCCCAGAATCTTAATTGGTGCCTGTTGAAAACAGTGGGCAGTTAAAAAAAAAAAAAAAATTAAAAAGTAGCCTGCAGTGATTCAAAGAGCTTGGAATGTATGTGGTAGCTATCTTGAATCGAATTTTTAAAAATTCCACAGAACTTTCAGATTAATCACTTTTGGTTCCCAAGACTAGCGGATCGGATGTTTCCTTCCTCCTGCCACCTTTTAAGATGGAGACACACACATGAAACCACTATCAATGCTACTCTTAAGACTTCCCTAAGCAGCAGAACAGAACTAACTATGGATGGGGATGACCCTCAATCAGAAGGTGATGGCAGTGGCAAAGGCTGAAGGGCAGCCTCACCAGTCTGCTGCTGACCCAAGTTCATATTCCATTTTTTATTTGAAACATAATCAGATCTGAGTTTTGGACATTCATCTCACACTGTAGATACAATTGACATGATAAATATAAAGGTAAAAAATAAATCTAGGTGCGCCTGGGTGGCTCAGTGGGTTAAAGCCTCTGCCTTCGGCTCAGGTCATGATCTCAGGGTCTTGGGAACGAGCCCCACACCAGGCTCTCTGCTCGGCGGGGAGCCTGCTTCCTCCTCTCTCTCTGCCTGCCTCTCTGCCTACTTGTGATCTGTCTGTCAAATAAATAAATAAAATCTTTAAAAAAAAAAAAAACAAGTCTAACCAGGGTTTTTTGGTTTAGTTTAGTTTTTGTTTTTTGGTTTTTTGGGGTATTTTGGTTTTGGGGGATTTGGGTTTTGTTTTTTTTTGTTTTTTTTTTTTTTTTACGTCTGTGATGACAAACAACTAATCTGACGAGTTGTGTTCTTCCCACACCAAATTGGCTGTTATTTTTAATTGAATTGACTGGACGCTTTGTGTCATGTAGACATAGACTCATTTTAATCTCACCAGGAAATTGGAACATGTGTTGGAGCCTCTGCTTTGCCAAACAAAACTGGCCAGTTCTTAGATCGCTGCTGCTTAATAGCATCAGATGTTTAGCCTCCAGAAATTTTTTTTTCCTTGCTATCATGCCCAAACATCCTCTACTGTTTTAGTAAATACATGAGATATGAACCTAATGTTACAAAATCACGATTGCTTTCAGTGAGAACGTAAAGGATGTATGTGGCTGGCAAATGGCCCGCACTTAGTATTTTGGAGAACTACAAAAGAATCTAGTCTGACTCTGGTCTTGCAAATGTTAAGAGATATCCCAGGCTGTGTTAGACATCTGTGATGTCAGCATCTGCAAATACTCTAATAGCTTCATGACCAGGACTCTTGGGGAAGATAATTTCCACCCCTCTTAGTCATTCTAGCATTTGTGATCTAAGGGAAGGAGCTTTGGGCTTGGAGGTAGAACTGGACTTACTAAGTCTGGTCTGAGCAATTGTTAGGTGTTGGCCAGATGAAGATGCCTGAGACATTGCCCACTGTTGAGAAATTCAGTCTCCTTGGGAGTTGAATGAGCCAGTCAGGACCATCCAGTGTCATAAATGCTTGAACAGTATCATCAGGGTGTAGCAGATTTAATCCTAGCTTTGCCACCCGCTGACTGTATGATCGGGTCCAAGCACTGAACCTCTCTGTGCCTCAGTTTCCTCACCTGTAAAATGAGTGTTTAGAGGACAGGGGGTTATCTCTCTGCCAGTTCCCTTAGTCTTTTCTTCTCTCAGTCAGCCTTTTGGTTGTCCTGTGTTCCCATAAAAGGTTCTCCTGTCTTCTGTCTCTCTCTGTCTCTCTAACCTGACAACAGCACTCTAAGGTGTGAGAAGATGGCTTGCAAAGCTCTCTTTCTGTGTATGCCAGGGCATGGCCATTGGGTTGAGTGGAAAACCTGTCCATGGGGAAGGCTTAAAGGAGTGGGAGGGAGGGTCTTAATCTTCATGAGTCAGCCTCAGGAGATCTCTTAGGTGAGGTAAAGACAAGTGGAAACAGATCCTTCCCAAACTTCCACAAAAGAAACATCTGTCACTTTGCACTGGTTCAAAGCAAGAGTCCACTCTTCCACACTCCACGCTTGAAAGGTTGGCTCTCACCAGGCTCCAGAGTGGGTGGCAGTGTGGTCAAAGGGAAGGAGCCCACTAAGCAGTGTTTTGTTCCTTGTCCCATAGCTGATTCCAGGAGAGAGATTACATGGCAAGGTGACAAGTTAACCTCTTGTGGGAGTGACCTGCGAACTCTCTTGTCATCCCACTTCCTGTCTGTCTCCTGATAGTGGGATTCTGTCATCTGAACAATCATTCAAAATCAAGTGACGATTTTTAAGTCATAGGCTGCCTCTTAGCAAAGTTTCACTTCAGAAATGCTATGGCCATTTCTTTCCATTAAGTTACACAATCAGAGAACCTTTGTTTTAGTGGAGGCAGTCTTGTCATTAATTCCGACCACCACAGTTCGAATCCTGACTCCATCACTAACTAGAGAGGGGCACGTTGCCTGCCTTCACCAAGCCTCAGTTTCCTTGTCTATAAAATATAGATCGTAATATAATTACCTCAAATGATACTTGTGAAAATTAAAAGAGATAACACATGCAAACTGCTTAGCGTGTATTTATTAATAAATGGACGATATCCTGACCAAAAGCTTGTCTATCATGAAATGTGTAATGTAATCATGTAATGTGACTTTGGAAATGTTTTCAGAACCTACCTAATCAGAGAAGGATATTGGGGGCTACCCACAGTCTCTGACCAGTGGGGCTCTAAAAATGGGTCAGGAGGTATGGAAGCCAAATGTCATATCTCTGTGTGTGTGTGTGTGTGTGTGTGTGTGTGTGCAATGGAACCCAAATGTATATATTCCCATGTACATACATAAATATAATACATAAATATACATACTTCATATGTATTGCCACATGCTCTGTTCCCAATGTGGGTTTCCTATTTTTCCAAAACTCACAGGCTTTGGAAAAACCACTACTCTTGGAAACTTCTTTTTGTTTTAAGCAGTACTTGGGCCACTTACCTGGTTCAAGATAAATTACACAAAGCGGAACAAGACATAAAGAGGATGGAGGGTAGAAAATGCACTTGGATTGCAAGAATTTGAAACAAGTGTTCTCTCCATTTGAGTGGTACATTGCAGTTGGGAGTCCTTGATGATTGGCACCACTCGTCCAACTGACAACGCAACCCCCCATTTAGAAAGTGGACAAAGGTTTCGGGAGTTAGAGATGATGCGTAGCTTCTTTCTCTGCCCACCCCCTTTCGTTTGTTTCCATTTCAGGAGCTGTAATAGAATCTAGATCTATCACAATAAAACTTAAGCATAGAGTTTTGCAAAAAAGGATTACAGTTTGTAAGATTTCAGCCTATAATCATTCACCCATAATGTATTGACTTTTCCTATTTGTTCTACCACAATAGGCACTGGGGGTGAGAAGGGTATAATCCTTTATTAATTAGCAAATTATTGATGTCCACAGTAGCTCAAGTGGTGATTTTACTTGCTCTTCATAGAGGGACCCGTTTTTTTCCTTCTCGTTTTGTTACAGTTTCCATTCCTGTTCAGCTATTTAATGAAGAATCTGGCTGATTTAAACTTTTAAACTACTGAATCCCAAAAAAAAAATAAATAAATAAAGGCAACAGCTCATAAAATCATCCTGACCTGATTTTGTACATGAATATAATGTATCTTGATCAGAACGACAGAGACACAGGCAGATCCTGAATTAAAGGAAAGCTCGTAGTCTTCGTTCAGACCTTTTGTTTGTTCATTTACAGGGCAATGGTAGAATACCTTAGGACTTTTGTTAACCATGAAGAAAAACAGGGTCTTAAATTCAGTATGTGTTGCTTTGTGTCACATGCCCTGTTAATTAAATCTCCATCATATGTTTATTAAGTTAATTATATATTTATTTTTTTCCACAGTCCCTGGATGGCTTTGTATTTGCACTAAATCAAGAAGGAAAATTTTTGTACATTTCCGAAACCGTCTCCATCTACCTAGGCCTCTCACAAGTAAGTAAAATGACAATTTAGATTCTTGACGGGGATTGTGAAGGCTCCTTCTGCCTTGTGCTTTTCCCTCTCCAATAGATATTCTGTTTAGCATGAATTATCAAATTTATTCTTTAATGCCTCTACTTGTCTCTTCTCACAAAGTCAGTGGGAAAATTCTGTCCGTTCAGAACGTTCGGAACAAACTTGTGCTCCAAAACTTTAGTTCCCCCTCCCCCCAAGGATCATTATTAATTTATTGAGAACAAATGAAGTTTCTTCCCTCCGTTGTTTTGAACTTTGAAACCTCTGTGCCCGGTAGAAGAGGGACACACTAATGGTGCTTCCCTTGTGTCCTATTACTGGATGTTTATGGAGTACCCTGCATTATCCTGGGAGCTGACACAATGACAGGGAGTCATTTGGAGTCAAGAAATGCTGAAAGAGACCATTAAAATGTGTTGCAGGGAAGGTTCCAGCAAGGATATATTTTGCTGCCTTTGCAAATGCTTCCTAATGCTGAAAGACAATTTCATAAAATAAGATAGCCTTTCATGATGTGCAGTTTAATTACTTGCACGTGTCCGTCAGAGGTTGAAAGAAAAGAAGATGGAGGCAGCTGGGGCAAGGGACAAGATCCTAGATGTTATTTCCTGATATTCCCCCCGGAACACACAAATTTTACTTCCGTCGGATTCAGGGACACGGGCTACATCTACAGAATGTCAAAATCCCCTGAAGAAAAGTTTTCAATTCCACTAATTATCCAGATGTGGTGGTTTTTTCCCCCCCATAAAAATGCTGAACATCTGGATATCTGCCCCCACACAGGTGATTGACGGAGTTTGACCCTTTTCATCTGGTGGTTTGGCATGAGGAGAACATAGCCTTGGTGGGAGGGATTTTGTATGTATGTGATGATCTGCCAAGTTGGATAATCTACTTCTCATTCAGTTGTCCCTTGGAGCTAAAGATGGAGATAAGATTTATCTCTCTCCTCTTAAGCAAGACCCACCCCAGACTCACTGCTTCCGAAAGTTGGCACCCCTCTAAGGAGGCATCCAGCATGGCTGGAACATTTTGGCTGTTAGTGAGCTTGCTGGGTAAGAGCTAAATCAAGAAAGACATTGGGAAATAAGAAAGATATTTGGCATTTGAGGAGGGTTGGAGAAGGAGGAGAAATGCTGCCAAATTTGATTATTTACTGTTGAGAATCCAAGCAAGGGTCCATTAACTCTTCCTTGAAGAACACGCAAGCTATTGGCTATAGTTTATAGAGAAGTTCTATTGCATGTGGGTTTTAGCAAACCAAATGATGGAAACAGGGCTATGGTTAACTCGTTGTCAGTATTCTTTCATCTTGTTGAAATCTCTGGTTTTGTCGTAGCCTTTCATAGATTTTAATCCTTGTCTTAATCTGTTTGGGATGGAGTTTTTGAGAATCTCCAGTTTGGAAATGGGCGCACCGCCATGTTCGTTCACACTGCTCAGAACTGGAAACACCACTGTTTGTTGTTCTGCAATGCCCATATTCATCTGTTTTACGCAGAATATCCAACAAAGTTTAATAAGCCAGTGAAGAAGAAGGATGAATAATTAGTTTAAGCAGGTAAATGCTAATTAGGGAACTCCTGAAAAGCATCCATTATATACTAGCTCAAAACACATTTTACAGCCCTGGTTAGTGGTGTAATCCAAATTCTGTCAAGGCAACTGCATTTTCTGTAATTGAGATGTGTATGTTTGCTTTGCATAACAGATGGCTCTGTATGCTTAGACTGATAGCTAGGAAAATAATAATTGCATTATTCTGGCCAAAAGAATATTAGCTCTTGGGTTTTGGCCATTTCAGTCAGTCCTCCTGCCAGCACAGCATATGCACATATATGGATTGGATTTTCAAGGAAATTGATGCATCTGGAATAGTGTGGCCATCTGAAATATCATCTGTTCAAGAAAAATTTGGCTTTAACCCTGTGCTGGTTTCTCCTTAAAAGCAGTATATTTCACTGCTTTTCTACTGTAACATTAAGTCAATCTTTTCTTAAAATCTGAGACAAATAATTGAGGTTTCTGCAGAATAAAGCAGCTGTGTAGACATGGAACAGTAGCTGGCACCTTCTGGGCAGTCATTCCCTGCTATTTTATGTGATGGGTTTTAAAGTGTGTATCAATAGTCAGCATCTTGCCTTGCCCGGAAGCAAACGCTGGCCCCAGTGTCTCTCACCCTCCATGGTACATGTGTTTAGTGTCCCCAGCAAGGGTGGGACATGCAGGTGAAATCTATGAGGTACAGAGGGCTTCATTTGGAAGTGATGAAGGCTAAGTCACTAGGAAGTGATTTGCGTATGCCAATGTAGGTGTTCAGTGTTCAAAACCAAAGTTTATGAGTACTTCCGGGTTAATGCGAAAATAATCCAATTAAGGGCACGGGATGTTTTTAAATGCCTAAAGAATGAGAAGGAAAAAAAGAATCTATGCCAATACTCTGGAAAAGGATTTCCAACCCAGTAAATGTTATGTTCTAAGTCCTAATAGGATCCTTGACACTCAACCCTTTTCAAGTTTCTTCAGTGTCCTCTGGCACTTGTGGGGGTACAGGGTCCTCATGGGGGATGTGTTATGTAAAATGTGCTCAAAGTTATTCAATTAAGTACATACTTAATCTTTTACACACACACCCTTAATTGAATGCAAACCAAACACTCTGTTTGTGTCCTACATCACTCAGAAGTTATTCCATCAAATTCTAGACAGAGATAAGGAGTCTATGAAATTATGGTCCCTTGGTTCCTTCTTAAATAGTTTTGTTAAATAAAGACAAAGCATAACTCATATCATCAAAGACTTACCCAGCGAAACTGTTGAGGAATATTGTGAGCACGTCAGCTTGTTAGAGTGTAGTTATATCTGCCTTTGTAACTCTCAAAATATTCTTCCTCAGTTTTATTTTCCTTCAACATGTAAATAAATATGGTGGCTTTAAAGTGGCTTATGTTCAGGAAAGAATTAGGATGATATTTTGACTTGTGAGAAAACTAAGTAGAGAAACTTCTACTGAGCTCTGTTGGCATGGTGTGAATATAGAGACAGAGCAGATTTCTTCCCTACCCTCTGTTGAGTGTAACAGCTCCTGGTGTCCAGTGCATGCGTGTGGCAGTTATTCTCTCTGAAGTATTTTCATATTGTCATGATGATGGGAGAGAAGGGATCTGTGATGAGGTTCAAACCGCCTTGGGCAGCCCTTTTGACTTTGCCAGAGATATATATTTCATTCAACATCCAAGATGGGGTTTCAGGTTATAGAAATATGCACTGTTGGCTCACTTCCCTAGGTAAAGATGATTCCCAACTACTCACTGTGAAGACATCTTAAAGAAAGAGCCCCAGATAGCAATACTGAGTTTGATTTGTGTGGGGATTAAATGCCTTCTTATACGTGGTGATAACATCCAGAGCTGTTAAAAACTAACTCTACTTTGTAGCTATCATGGAATAAGCATAAGTGGAAATGAAGAAAGAAAACAGTGTATTCCCTAGCACTGAAAATGTAGTAATGATACATAGTAGGATTTTAAGAAATCTCTTCCGGGTTGTAAGGGACGTAATCACCAAAGGATCCAAAGGAGACTTTTTATGATAAATAAAAAATATTTCTAGTTTGATATAGGACTTAGAGAAATATTCATTCATTGGATTATACCCTCCTGTTTCCACAAATGCATAGAATAATGCATAAATAAAAAATGATAGCACAAAAAAAATAGAAAAAGATAATTGCACAATATAGCCACGGTATAAGGAAAGAAAAGGCAAAATTAACTCATTTTTTTACCCCATAGTAGGCAAACACAATAGAGTCTCTAAAGAAGGATGTAAGTAGTCTGATAAAGCCTCATATTTAGCAGTGAGCTCCCTGGTAACCAAAGCAAAAAGGGAAATACTGCCATTCTTCAAAAAATAAGGAAGCATTACTTCTTAAGGACAGCAAAGTTTTTCTGGGGCTGCAGTATAAAAATATATCTCAAATATAATCTCTGTAGAGGTCAATATATGGATTATGACATACTGATTTGCTTCTGTTGGAGTTCATATTCAGAGCAAAGCTGTATTGACCATCTAACCAATATGAATGAACATATTGCAAATCTCATAAGCAGACAGGAGACTCTTCCCCCTCCCCAGACGTTGGTGTGCTGAAGATCATTCTGCGAGTCATTTTCTGACATCCAGGCCTCATAATCGCTTTGACTAGTTTGATGGTTTATGTGCTTGTATAAATCAGCTTTCCCTCATCCATACACAAACCCTGCATTTTCTCTTAACTACTGATGAGAAGTTTAACAGTACAGTTGCTGGAGGCAGAGGACATGGGTCTCAGTTAAACAGAGGATAAAAAAGGACTTGTAGTTTTTGAAAACATTTTTCTTTGAAAGTGGGGTGAGAAATGATGATTCTGAGGCACACCTGTGCCAGCAAAATGTTTTCAATTTAACATAGAGTCTTATTTAAAATAAAATAGGATGTAGAGCAAACTGGGAAATTAACAGAGTTTTACACTGTGATATCATTAGAAAATACTCTGCAGCCAGCTAACCACTCTCTTGAGATGCTTCCTAATCTCGCCCCTACTGCCTCCAGTGCCAGCTTGCCCGACACTTCTCAGCCAGTCCCCATTCTGGTGGAAGATACACCCTTGTTGTCATAAGCCCTCCGGAAAGTAGTCTCAGACAAGCTTACAAATTGGCTTGTTTTAAGGCAGCTTTGCTGAGGGGGGCAGGGTGGTCGCAGACAGAAGGGCTAACAAGAGGTGAAAGTGAAAAGGGGTAAATGATTGTTTTGAATTTAGTCTTTTTTTTTTTTAGCCCTGCAGATACATTTACCACCAACTCCTTTCCCCATCCTATTGTTGTTCATCCCCATACTCTAGATTTCTCTGCATTTGTTATATAGAATGGCAAATAAAATTACAGCTACAGCACACAAGTACAAGGTCAAATAAATGACAGAGCTCAGTCTAT